AGATATAATAAAATATTTACAAAAATGTGAGGGGTGTACTCACTTCTGTGAGATACTGTATGTAGGCGACACTTCCTGTCCTGGCGGCCTACTTGATTTTGTCATTAGGCAATTCCCTAGGACTTGTCAAGGTCCTACCTTTTCCCTGAGGTTATGTTACTCCATGTGCTGGCGTCCATCTTGGATTCTGCTGTGCATGATGGGAGTCCTTTTTATGCCTTCAGGTCTCTGAGGTCCACCCCCCAGAGGGGCGTGGCTGATGACATATAAGCCTGTGGCCCGCACATGCTCTTTGCACTTGTGTCTTGTGTCTTTGTGTTACTATTACTCTGTTCTGACTCTCGTGACTCTCCTGGTATTCTGATTCGGCTTGTGACTTGACTATTCTTTGTATTCTCCTTTGATCTGACCCTCTGTTGCTGAACCCGGCTTGTGACCTGTGATTCTCGTCTGCTGTCCTGTACTGTTTTGTCCTGTTGTTGTTGACCCCGGCTTGTCTGACTACTCTTTTGTTTCTTCCACCAGCTACATGCCATTGGCGGCGGCCATTACCGCAGCTGAGGTGTCTTGGGGGCCGCGACCTGGTTCCTGGCTGCGTCAAGTCCATCCCCACCATCAGGGGCCCTGGTGAAGGGCAGCCTGGGACTTAGACTCCGCGCCCTGAGGGACTCCGGTCTGTGGGTGGTGGTTGTCGTCAGCCAGTGCGTTACATTGTTAGGCCTGCCTGTCCGTTCCTCGGCTCCTGCCCTGACAGGACTACCGGGATATCAGCGTCATGTATCCAGGGGTCTTCGGAAACCTAATAGTAAAATTGATGCACAGTGTTGACTGGAAGGTTTCCATAACAATGGGGTGGGAACTTCCATCGACATTGCTATGGCAACATGTAATCAACAAGGTGCGCGCAGCTGTGTCATTACTCTGCAGGCACAAGATTGGGAGGTGCATGCTGGGTAGCCAGCTGCACAGATCCCGGAAACAAATAGGAGCGGGCTTCAGCTGCCTACCACAGCAATGGCCACAGCCTGCCTTCTGAGTTTATGTGAATAGTTATTAATTTAAAAGCAACAGAATTGATAGCAGTAACAGCAATATCCTATTTATATTGTGCAAGTAGAAATAATTTAACAGGGGTTTTATGACTGGAGCTGGAGCACCACTTTAAGCTTTTTTAATTTTGTTTGTAATTATTCAGCTATGACATGTTTAGATTAAATGGTCAGATGCCAGAGCAAAAAAGATTTTGAGACATTGACTTGGGGAGTTTTCGTCGCTCAATTGGCTTTCATTTTAAAATAAAATGTGACTAGTTAGGTAAATGTTAGAGTTCTTTAATTCATATTAGTGGTCTCAGCCAGCTTCAACAGCAATCAACATGACTACTTATATACAGTCCCTTGTTGTGGTGCTAACCACACAAGGAGTTCATTGTCTTGGGAACCTTTAGTGTATTTCTCCTCTAAAGTGAAAACACCCTCTCCAGCTGTGCCTAGATTTGTGTATTTGAGCTGTGATACAGATTGTTTCATCACACATGTAACCAGCCATGCAAGCTTACTGTTCTGACCGATGAAATCTACAATATTCCCCAGCAGACGGAGCTGATTTGCCTGATCACCACAGCAGGAGGCTGCATTACTTGGTAGAGTTCAGACTAAAGTGCTCAGTGATGCAGACAGCAGTTGTGTTCTGAAAATCAACTTTTCTCCATCCTTCTACTTTCAAAATTTAAAATGCAGGAACCAAAAATTACTGGAATTGATGGATGATGCTTAAATATAATTTAAGAGTAGAAATACACATCTTGATACAAGTGATACAAGCATTGCTTGTGATTACCAACGAGTAGAACATACCTGGGTTCAGTTTAATGCAAGTTCAGCAAACATGACTGAAGCTTGGATCCTGAATCTGAGCAGAATATTACATATCAGTAATGACCATTTTCTGGGCTAATAGACAAGATATTGCCAAAGAAATGGCATGGAAAGGTGGGAAATGAACTGGAGGCAATGAAAAAAAAAAATAAATGTTAACTTTCAGCATGGAGTCTTTACTGTTGGCTTGACAGGAAAAATTTAAAATACAAAAATACTTCAAATTACATGCTTAGAGAATACCTTAAGATTATGATTTTCAGGAATAGCACCAGCGGCATGATATTATGGCTTACATACAGCAGCAGCAACCCCACATGACTGATTACCAAAAGTAAAAAAGGCTTTCATGGGTAGTTTTTCAACAAGAAATGTGTTTCTTTTGCAAACTATACAAAATAAAGTTAATGCTATCAACTTCATACAAACTGCCAAACAGTGTCAAAACAAGTTATGTAGCATAGCTTGTGATCTTCCTTTCAATAACACTCTGTATTGTGTACAAAGTTTAATTAAATGTCAACCCAGACTGCGCCAAACAAATCAAAGCCAAAAACCCACACCCCAGAGATGAGGCAGTTGTTAAAGTGAACTAAAAAAATTACAATGCGACTTTTCAAACAGCCAAATATATGGCACAGTGGCTGGTGAATATATGTAAGCAGTTTGGGGCACAGAGCAGCAAGGTAAGAGAAAGAGATAAGTACAATTTTTGTCAAGAAATAATAGAGTAAGATATTTCAAAGACAACAGCCATAACTATTACATAGACTTAATGTACATTATGCAAGCATTTGTACTTGGCCACTATGATGTCGTTTTTTCAAGCAACGGTAAATGACCGCTGCCAAGTTTCTCTGGCATTCTCAGAGAAGACAGATCTCCTCTGAGTGCCAGTTTAATGAGGAGAGAAGAGATCTACAAACGCTTTGAACTCTAGAAAATGCCTACTGTTGCTGTAATCTTGTGAGATATAGCGAGATTACAGTAACAAGAGATCAGTAATACACACAGCCATCAGTTTGTTAAGCAGCAGTAAATTACCTCTCCTCAGTGCATTGCACACAATAATATTTAAAAATTACATATATACAGTATATATATATATATATATATATATATATATATATATATATAGTCAGGTCCATAAATATTGGGACATCGACACAATTCTAACATTTTTGGCTCCATACACCACCACAATGGATTTGAAACGAAACAAACAAGATGTGCTTTAACTGCAGACTGTCAGCTTTAATTTTGAGGGTATTTACATCCAAATCAGGTGAACGGTGTAGGGAATTACAACAGTTTGCATATGTGCCTCCCACTTGTTAAGGGACCAAAAGTAATGGGTGTTAGGAATGGACTGGCCAGCAATGGTGGGACTCACCTGCCTTTTGATCTGCAGTACCAGGGCTGGCCAGCGGGTGCTCCCCAGCAATCAGAGACTCAACCTTTCAGCCAGCTAACACCTGGAACTGATGATACTGGTGTATTTAAGGGATGGCCAGACTTGCAGACTCTGCCTTGGTGTTGTGTTTGTCCTGGGCCCTGTATCTGTCCTGCATCCTGTTCTGTTTCCTTTGCTGACTTCTCCCTGCTCTGATCCTGGCTTGTGACCCTGACCATCCCTCTGTCTGACCCTCTGTACTACGCTTGCTTGCTACCTGTTCTGATCCCTGGCTTGTGACCCGGACCATCCCTCTGCCTGACCCTCTGTACTATGCTGCTTGCTACCTGCTGAACCTGGCCTGTGACCCCCGACCATTCTCCGCTTGCTCCCCCTGTACCTACCTGCCCAATTGATATTGACCCGGCCTGCCTGACGACGCTTGCTTGTATATACTGTTATCTGTGGGTGGTTTGGTTTGGTTTGTTTGCACCGTATTATGTTTTAGTATTGCACTGCGTTTATGTTTGTACTGTTAGTGTTAATAAATTATATTGTTTATCACATATCTGAGGTCTGCGTTTCCCTGCTTCAGTCACACACCTCTGGTCATACCTGGGAACCCTGACATTACACCAAGGCCAATCCTGACCAGAAGTGGCTGCACAGGGAAGCCATCTTGGCTTTGTTGATGGGAAGGATGGATCTTGAGGAGGTTGAGTATTTATATCTGCTAGTGTTTGATGACAGGGAGTATGCTTATCAAACTCTGAAGGAGTATACCCGGGATGAACTGCTAGAATGTATACGGCTCGCTCATGTTCTAGTAGATCAGGGCACAGAGTTCTCTGAGGTGCAGCCTTTGATTGAGGTTTGTGCAGAGTTTGTTTCATCTGGTTCCCCCGAATGCAGGGATGAATTTTTGCCACCATTTAGTGCAGACCAGGTAGAGTCCCTGGTGTGGTTATTAGAGGATGATGTGGGTTACTTTCTGGAGCGTTATTCCACATTGTTCACCAACAGACACTGAGAGATTGTATAAACGCAGTGCAGTCATTGACCAGACAGACTTTGTGTAAGCTCAGCTTTGTTCAACCCCTACTGCAGACATGGACAGATTTGTTGCACCCAGCCTCAGTCAGCTTACAAAGACCCAGTCCTGCTTCTAACTCTTCTCCTGTATTCCCACCAGCTCCTCCAGTTACAGCCCAGTATACTTGGCTATCTACCGCATGTCAGTCCCCTGTTCCCACTCGCTGCACCTATCCTGCCTTTTAACCCTGTAAAAAAGCCCTCTGTAGCAACTGCTCCTTCTCCTGTTCCATCCTCCAGTTCTTCTCTGTCTCCAGCTGCTCCATTCGTTTGCAGACCTGCGTTTACTTGCAGTGCTCCGGTAGTTAAAACCAGAAAAAAGCAGAAAATCTTTCCAACCAATACCATCCTGCCAGTATCCAAACCGGTGAGCCTGCCTTCCGTGGTTCAGACTGATGCCTGTACGCAGCCTGAAGCCTCTACTCGGCCTGACTAGCCCTGAAGCCTCTCCTCGGCCTGAAGCCTCTACGCGGCCTGAAGCCTCTCCTCAGCCTGAAGCCTCTCTACGCGGCCTGAAGCCTCTACTCGGCCTGATGCCTCTACTCGGCCTGATGCCTCTACTCGGCCTGAAGCCTCTACTTCGGCCTAATGCCTCTAACCCAGCATGATGAACTGATCCAGCCTGACGATCCTATTAGGCCAGTTGACTCGATGCCCGCTGTTGATCCAGATGATCTGGTACCTGATCCGGTGCCCGCTGTCGTGCCAATTGACTCAGAGCCCGCTGTCGTACCTGGTGACTCGGTGCCCACTGCCTTGCCAGATGACGCGGTGCCCGCTGGCAAGCCAAATGACCTGATGCCTGGTGACCTAGTGTCCGCTGTCATACCATGATGACCCGATGCCCGCTGTCGAGCCAGACAATCCGGTACCTGATGACCCGGTGCCCACTGTCGTGCCTGTTGACTCGGAGACCACTGCCTTGCCAGATGACGCGGTGCCCGCTGTCGAGCCAAATGACCTGATGCCTGGTGACCCGATGCCCGCTGTCCAGCCAGACGATTCAATGTCTGCCCCGGTGCCCGCGGTCATGCCAGTTGACTCGGAGCCCACTGCCTTGCCAGATGACGCGGTGCTCGCTGTCGAGCCAAATGACTTGATGCCTGGTGACCCGATGCCCGCTGTCCCCGGTCAGTCAGACGATCCAATGTCTGACCCAGTGCCCGCGGTCATACCAGTTGACTCGGAGCCCACTGCCTTGCCAGATGACGCGGTGCCCGCTGTCGAGCCCAAATGACCTGATGCCTGGTGACCCGATGCCCGCTGTCCAGCCAGACCATCCAATGTCTGACCCAGTGCCTGCGGTCATACCAGTTGACTCGGAGCCCACTGTCGTGCCTGGTGTCTCGGTGCCCGCCGCTCCGCCTGGGGGCCCGAGACCTGTTGCTCCGCTTGGGGGTCCAGCGCCTGTCGCTCCGCCTGGGGGTCCGGCACCTGCCACTCCGCTTGAGGGCCCCCGAGACCTGTCGCTCCTCCTGGGGGGTCCGGCGCCCGCCGCTCCGCCTGAGGGCCCGAGACCTTGTCGCTCCACCTGGGGGTCCGGCGCCCGCCGCTCCGCCTGAGGGCCCGAGACCTGTCGCTCCACCTGGGGGTCCGGCGCCCGCCGCTCCGCCTGAGGGCCCGAGACCTGTCGCTCCATCTGAGGGGTCCGGCGCCCGCCGCTACCGCCTGAGGGCCCGAGACCTGTCGCTCCATCTGGGGGGTCCGGCGCGCCCGCCGCTCCGCGCCTGAGGGCCCGAGACCTGTCGCTCCTCCTGGGGGTCCGGCGCCCGCCGCTCCGCCTGAGGGCCCGAGACCTGTCGCTCCGCCTGGGGGTCCGGCGCCCGCCGCTCCGCCTGAGGGCCCGAGACCTGTCGCTCCGCCTGGGGGTCCGGCGGGCCCGCTCGCTCCGCCTGGGGGCACGATGCCTGTCGCCCCGCCTGGGGGCACGATGCCTGTCGCCCCGCCTGGGGGCCCGATGCCTGTCGCCCTCCTGGGGGCCCGATGCTGTCGCCCCTCCTGGGGGCCCGATGCCTGTCGCCCCGCACGGGGCCCGATGCCTGTCCCCCGCCCGGGGGCCCGATGGCCTGTCGCCCCGCCCGGGGGCCCGATGCCTGTCGCCCCGCCCGGGGGCCCGGTGCCTGTCGCCCCGCCCGGGGGCCCGGTGCCTGTCGCCCCGCTCGGGGGGCCGCGGGCCTGTCGGCCCGGCCGGTGCCTGTCGCCCCGCCCGGGGGCCCGGTGCCTGTCGCTCTGGGCCCGGGGGCCCCGGTGCCTGCCGCTCCGCCCGGGGGCCGGTGCCTGCCGCTCCGCCCGGGGGCCCGGTGCCTGCCGCTGCCGCCCGGAGGGGCCCGGTGCCTGCTGCTTCGCCTGGGTAATCCGATGTGCCTCTGCCCGGAGTCCTGCCCGATGTGCCTCTGCCCGGAATCCTGCCCGATGTGCCTCTGCCCGGAGTCCTGCCCGATGTGCCTCTGCCCGGAGTCCTGCCCGATGTGCCTCTGCCCGGAGTCCTGCCCGATGTGCCTCTGCCCGGAAGTCCTGCCCGATGTGCCTCTGCCCGGAGTCCTGCCCGATGTGCCTCTGCCCGGAGTCCTGCCCGATGTGCCTCTGCCCGGAGTCCTGCCCGATGTGCCTCTGCCGGAGTCCTGCCCGATGTGCCTCTGCCCGGAGTCCTGCCCAATGTGCCTCTGCCCGATGTGCCTCTGCCCGGAGTCCTGCCCGATGTGCCTCTGCCCGGAGTCCTGCCCGATGTGCTTTCTGCCCGGTGTGCCTCTGCTCGATGTGCCTCTGCCCGGAGTCCAGCCCGGTGTGCCGCTGCCCGGAGTCCTGCCCGGTGTGCCAGTCTTTGATATCCCGCCAGTTGCCAGAACCGGCGGTGGAACATTTTGCCCAGCTAGGACTGTTTGGAGCGTCCTGAGGCCGCTCCTTGAGGGGGGGGGGTACTGTTAGGAATGGACTGGCCAGCAATGGTGGGACTCACCTGCCTTTTGATCTGCAGTACCAGGGCTGGCCAGCGGGTGCTCCCAGCAATCAGAGACTCAACCTTTCAGCCAGCTAAACACCTGGAACTGATGATACTGGTGTATTTAAGTGTAGGGGATGGCCAGACTTGCAGACTCTGCCTTGGTGTTGTGTTTGTCCTGGGCCCTGTATCTGTCCTGCATCCTGTTTTCTGTTCCTTTGCTGACTTCTCCTGCTCTGATCCTGGCTTGTGACCCTGACCATCCCTCTGTCTGACCCTCTGTACTACGCTGCTTGCTACCTGTTCTGATCCCTGGCTGTGTGACCCGGACCATCCCTCTGCCTGACCCTCTGTACTATGCTGCTTGCTTACCTGCTGAACCTGGCCTGTGACCCCGACCATTCTCCGCTTGCTCCCCCTGTACCTACCTGCCCAATTGATATTGACCCGGCCTGCCTGACGACGCTTGCTTGTATATACTGTTATCTGTGGGTGGTTTGGTTTGGTTTGTTTGCACCGTATTATGGTTTTTAGTATTGCACTGCGTTTATGTTTGTACTGTTAGTGTTAATAAATTATATTGTTTATCACATATCTGAGGTCTGCGTTTCCTTGCTTCAGTCACACACCTCTGGTCATACCTGGGAGCCCTGACAATGGGGACAGAATAATAATCATAAATCAAACTTTCACCTTTTAATACTTGGTTGCAAATCCTTTGCAGTCAATTACAGCCTGAAGTCTGGAATGCAGTAGACATCACCAGACGCATGGGTTTTCATCCCTGGTGATCCTCTGCCAGGCCTCTACTGCAACTGTCTTCAGTTCCTGCTTGTTTTTGGGGCATTTTCCCTTCAGTTTTGTCTTCAGCAAGTGAAATGCATGCTCAATCGGATTCAGGTCAGGTGATTGACTTGGCCATTGCATAACATTCCACTTCCTTTCCCTTAAAAAACTCTGGTTGCTTTTGCAGTATGCTTTGGGTCATTGTCCATCTGCACTGGGTGAAGCGGCGTCCCAATGAGTTCTGAAGCATTTGGCTGAATATGACAGATAATATTGCCCGAAACATTTCAGAATTCATCCTGCTGCTTTTGTCAGCAGTCACATCATCAATAAACACAAGAGAACCAGTTCCATTGGCAGCCATACATGCCATGACACTACCACCACCATGCTTCACTGATGAGGTGGTATGCTTAGGATCATGAGCAGTTCCTTTCCTTCTCCATACTCTTCTCTTCCCATCACTCTGGTACAAATTGATCTTGGTCTCATCTGTCCAATAGGATGTTGTTCCAGAACTGTGAAGGCTTTTTTAGCTGTCTTTTGGGCAAACTCTAATCTGGCCTTCCTGTTTATTGAGGCTCACCAATGGTTTACATCTTGTGGTGAACTCTCTGTGTATTCACTCTGGTGAAGTCTTCTCTTGATTGTTGACTTTGACACACATACACCTACCTCCTGGAGAGTGTTCTTGATCTGGCCAACTGTTGTGAAGGGTGTTTTCTTCACCAGGGAAAGAAAATTCTTTCGGTCAATCCACCACAGTTGTTTTCCCCCGTGGTCTTTCCGGGGTCTTTTTTGGTGTGCTGAGCTCACCGGTGTGTTCCTTCTTTTTAAAAATGTTCCAAACAGTTGTTTTTGTTGGCCACGCCTAATGTTTTTGCTATCTCTCTGATGGGTTTGTTTTGTTTTTTCCGCCTAATGATGGCTTGCTTCACTGATAGTGACAGCTCTTTCGATCTCATCTTGAGAGTTGATAGCAACAGATTCCAAATGCAAATAGCACACTTGAAATGAAACTCTGGGACCTTTTATCTGATCATTGTAATTGGGATAATGAGGGAATAACACACACCTGGCCATGAAACAGCTGACAAACCAAATTGTCCCATTACTGTTGGTCTTCTTAACAAGTGGGAGGCACATATGCAAACTGTTGTAATTCCTACACCGTTCACCTGATTTGGATGTAAATTAAAGCTGACAGTCTGCAGTTAAAGCACATCTTGTTCGTTTTATTTCAAATCCATTGTGGTGGTGTATAGAGCCTAAAAAAAATTTTAGAATTGTGTCGATGTCCCAATATTTATGGACCTGATTGTAACTTAGATTACAAAATCTTCAGTTTTACTCAAAATTAGTTGATGCAAAAATGAATACACCCCACAACAAAAACGACTTAATCTAGTATTTTGTTATGACCTCCATGATTTATTAGGGACAGCACCAAGTCTTGTAGGCATGGAATGAACAGGTTGGCAACATATTGCAACATCTATCTTTTTCCATTCTTCAAGAATGACCTCTTTTTAGAGCCTGGATGCTGGATGAGAGAGTGATGCTCAACTTGTCTCTTCAGATTTCCCCATAGGTGTTTGACTGGGTTCAGTATCAGGAGACATGCTTGGCCACTGAATCACTTTCACCCTGTTCTTCTTCAGAAATGCAACAGTGGCCTTAGATGTGTGTTTTGGATCATTGTTATGTTGGAAAAGTGCACGATAACCAGGGGCACAGAGTGAGGGTAGCATCTTCTCTTTCAATATAGAGCAGTACAGCTATGAATTTATGAAACCATCAATGAAATGCAGCTCCCCAATATCAGCAGAACTCATGCAGCAGCCCCACAGAAGGACACTACCACCACCATATTTCACTGTAGGCACCATACATTTTTTTTTTGTACCCCTCACCTTTGCAATGCCATACAGCGTTGAAGCCATCAGTTCCAAAAACATTTATCTTATTCTCATCACTCCCCGTAATCTTCTTTTTTAGCATGGGCCCAGACAAATTCTAGGTGGGCTTTTTTGTGCATGGGTTTTAGGAGAGGCTTCCTTCATGGATGACACCATGCTTGCCATCCTCCTGTTGAGGAGTTAACGTCTGAGGACACATCCTTTTATAATCAACTGTCTGCTGGACACCTGTTTAATGAATTAGATATACCTGTAGTTGTCTAAAATTTACCATTGCTCCTAAGACTTCATTTGGGTGTATTCATTTTTAGAACATGGTCTTGAATTAATTTGTTTGGAAAAATACTTTTTTGTGTGTGCAAATTAACAAATCTTGTTTGCAATCAATGGCCCACATTTGTGGGAGTATTTTGCAGTACAGTGTCCCATAGAAAATGTTGACTCTGAAAGAAAAGTAAAAGTTTTCTGACA